TCACATTTGTTGATGTCCCATTGGTAAAAGCAAGTTATTTAGCCAACACCAGAGTCAGTGCTGAAGGGGACCACACGATGGCATAGATACCAGGAAGCATGTTTTATTGGAAGTCTACCACAGAGATCAAAATGCATCCACCTAAACCCTGTACACTAAGGAGTCTAAGTGTCACCATTGGCTCTGAATTGCTGCTGTTGGCTATCTGTCAGAATTTGTTCATTCCTTTTGTTCTATTTCATTTTACATAGGCATTAGTTCTTGTCACTATTCTTACTGACTCTTTCAGCCATTTCTGCTAGTGCCCAAGTGAGAACAGAACTGTCAGGATATTGCCAGTTGGTAAACTGTATCAGGTTGAAATTTCTAAGAATATATTGTATCTAAAAACGGGACCCAAGGATAACACAGTATTTATTGATGGAAAGAAAATGCTGCTTTAAAATGGTATTGCAAAGCTAAGAATACTTTTTTTACTTAAGGACCAACAAAGGTTGTTTCTGTGCCCACAGTTCCTTCATTTCTTTTTGTGTTTCCTTTTCTTGTCTGATTTTAGGGAACTAATACAGCATCTAGTTTGTGTATGTTTTCTTTTCCTGTCTATGAGTTTATCAGGCCAATGGGGAAATGAAATAATGCCTTTAAATGATTTGTTGACAAGTTTGTTCCTGGTTGTTTTCCTTGAGGTTGGTGATTTCATGACTATTGAAATAATTAATTAACTTTGCTTAAAATAGTAAACACTTAACTAAAACAATCTTTGGGAACATTAGGGGCACAGAATAGGTTTTTAAGATCATTAGATTTAAAAGTCATTTCCAATGCAGAGGAGCCAAATCAGATATAGAGTTCAAGTAATTCACCCAAGATCACACAGCTAATAAGTAACAGAATTGACACAGGTTGCCAAATTAGTGTTTGTGTTGGAAGGAACATAGGGATACCTCAGTTTTGAAATCTGTCTTCAGCACTTGTTGGTGGGCAGGTTTTTAAATAATACTCAACTTCCTTCATCTGTAAAATATTGATCATACCCTGTATCTCCAAGATTGTTAGGAAGATTAAACAAGAAAATATGTAAGAATGTCTGCTACCCGGAAGATGTTCAGTAAATGCTGCCTTTTCTTTCAATTCAATGCTCTTTCCACTGTATTAGGCTGCCTACCTTTAATAGATAATGCCTTCCAGCTTAATGAAAACTCAAAACAACAAATAAGAATTATGAGGAGTTTTTTGGAGGGTCTTACTTGTATTCCAAAAATTTGTCCCTCCCTTTCCTGTCCCCCTGTATTCCCTCCACCATACTTGATTTGCATTCACCCTCCTACCCTTTTTTTCTCTTTCATTCTGTCTCTCTCTTCCCCTTTCCCACTGCCCTGTTTTATTTCATAGAGCTGATAACGTATATTTCTTTTTAATGTTATATAGCCTGATAAAGTGCTGGACATGTTGTAGGTATCCTCCTACCTAATGACTTCAAATATTTTTAATTCTTTTTTTATTTTATTATTATTGTTTTTTAATGTATGGTCTTGCTAAGCTGCCCAGGCTAGAATTGAACTCCTAGGCTCATGCAATTCTCCTGCCGTAGCCTCCCAGGTAGCTGTGACTACAGGTGTGCACCACCATGTCCAGATTTCCTCTATCCTTATATAACAGTTTCTTTGGCTTCTTGGAATCATGTACTCCTCCCTCTCTACTTCTTCAAGCCAACTAGCCTCATGCAACTAATATTTACATATTAGAAACTGACATTGTAAAAAGGAATATAAGAATAAGAGTTGCCAATAAAATTACAGGTTATTCTCAACAAGTGGCTTACTTATGCAGCTAGTCAGTGAAGCGTTTCCCTCTTATAGGACAAGAACCATTCAATTCTTTAGTGACAGTGAGTATCATGATACTTGAGTATATGATATTTGAGTGAGTATCATGATACTTGAAATATGGAATAGGAGGAAACAGATGCTTGCTTCTGGAATTTTTTGCCTGTGAGACTAAGAGAGGATTCTCTTTTGGGACGGCACCTGTGACAGAGAAGATATATTTTCAGTGCTCTGAGTTATAAGTCATGAATAGAACAGATAGAGTCCTAGTCTAGTTTTCAGAAGCATTGTTAACTAGACTCTGGTTGGGGAAATCAGATCACCATTTAGAACACAGTGCCATTGCGATTATTTATTGAATGAGGGAATGAATTGATCAACACAATAAACTTTCAAACTTTTAAAAAATCTCTGTTTTTAAGGGTTGCTTTAGTGATGTTTGTATATATCATATGTATGCACATGTGGACATCTATAGGCAGATACATACATATAAAACTAAAAATTACAGAAATTGTAAAATTTTACCTAAAGTCTACTGATGACTTTCTGTGTAATCTACCTATGACTTCCTGTAAATTCTCTTAAAATTGTATGCCAGATATTATCTGTGCCTTTTTTGAGGGAAAAGATATAAAAAATACAGAGTTCTTAAGGGAGGGGGATGATTCTCAAAGGTAAGAACTTTAACTATAGGATGTATAGATCTATTTTTGTATGTACATATATTATTTGTTTTTAAAGAGTATCAAACTCTGTTACACATTGCCTTAACATTTTAGTTATATTTTGTGTGAAATCCATGGTAATTAGAACTAATGATAGAATTATCATAATCATAATTATTTGTGGCACACAATATTGAATACTTTGTCATAATTTTGTGTCCTAAGCCATTCCTGCATTATATTGATTTGCCAAGAATTTGATGCCATACATAGGTAAAACTTATCAAGAGATTTATAAGATCTGTGTCTTAACCTAAACTCTTTCAGTAGTATAAGGAATATTTGGGTGTTCCAGTCAGTGCCTGAATTCTATATTTGGCATTTAATCTGTATATTCAATACTAGAAAAATTTCTGTTTTTATAATTTTTATCTTAAATTTAACCAAAAAAGAACTGAAATTCATTATTTTCCTAGAGCTATTTTCTACATGATTTGAATGAACTATAAATGCATATATTCACACAAAATTTTGACCTTCACATTAGATTTCATTGAAAATAGTTCAAAGAAAGTTGGAAAGATTCATATTTGTTGTCAAGGCCAATTAATTTGAAAATGTTATATGTTTTAAACTTTATATATAGTTGATGAATTTTCAGTAGGCCTCCTTTGAGTTATTAATATAGTTGCCACTCTAATAAAAATATAGCTATATATTTTAATATTTTCCTTAAAATTACACACATGTATTGTTTTTATAGCTTGAGTTCCAAGTAAAGAATTGGGAAGATAGAATTATCGAAACTGTAATATGGTTAAATTTTTTTAATAACAGCTTTATTGAGATATAATTCACATATCAAATTCACCCTTTTAAATTATATACCATGTTCACAACTTTTTCTTCAGTGATTCAGAAAAAGAATCATATACATTATTAGAGAAACATGGTAAAATGTCAACAATTAAGGAATCTTAGTAGAGAATATGGAAATTTTATGTACTGTTTTTGTCTAAGTTTGAAATTATTTTAAAATAAAATATTTTTAAAATGAAAAATGTGTATGATGCAATGGTTATAGTATATTCACAGAGCTGTGCAATCATCACCACTATCTAATTCCAGAATAAAATTTTAAGCAGTTTTTTCTGTGTTTGTTTTCTTATAATTCCTTTATTTTTCACTTGATACACAAAAGTTTATGAATCTTGAAAATTTTCTTTAAAATTTTCTTAAAGTTTTCATATGTTGAACTGAAAGACTACAATGTATCATAGTCAAAGGAAATGAAATTTAAAATGAAAATTCTTATTTGACTAAAAGAAAGTTAAAGTAAGGCTAGGCGTAATCCTAGCACTCTGGGAGGCCGAGGTGGGAGGATAACCGCTCAAGGTCAGGAGTTTGAGACCAGCCTTAGCAAGAGCGAGACCTGTCTCTACTAAAATAGAAAGAAATTAGCAGGACAACTAAAAATATATAGAAAAAATTAGTTGGGCATGGTGGTGCATGCCTGTAATCCCAGCTACTTGGGAGGCTGAGGCAGGAGGATCACTTGAGCCCAGGAGTTTGAGGTTGCTGTGAGCTAGGCTGATGCCACAGCACTCTAACCTGTGCAACAGAGCAAGACTCTGTCTCAAAAAAAAAAAAAGAAAGTTAAAGTAGTTAAAGTTACTACTTTATTAATAAGAAAGTTAAAGTAGTTAAAGTTACTCCTTTAACTTTAGTCTATATCCTTTGTTGAAGCTTTTGCATAGAATCCTGGAATAAATTGTCAGTCATATGCAAAACTGTGTCTACTTCTTAAAACTTAAATTGAGGAAGGAAATGCTTTGTACCAACATGGCAAAAACTTTATTATAATAAAAACATTCCTGTTTCTTCCTCTCATACTACTATGTTCATTGTACTGTATCTTCATCTGAGAGGTAGAACTCTTTAGAGAACTGCCTTAATTTTTATATGCATTGGAGCAATATAATCAATGTTTGCAATGTTTTGATAAAAGCAAATTTTTAATAAATAGTTCTAGTCTCCCATAATTTTCAAGTCAGTTTTCACTTTAATGATGTATGATATTGTTTTTTCTTTTCTCTTAATTAGAACTTATAAACTCTTAACTACATACGGTTTATTCATAGTGTTAAAAGAATTGGGAAGATTAATTTGCACTAATATCGTATGTTGCTTTTTATACTGAATATACTCTGGGCAAAAATGTGAATCTGAATAAGTATTCAAAAATGCAGTTGCGTGTAAATACAGTGGAGTTTTTGTCTGATTCCCTGATTCAAAATGACTCAGAGAAGGGTCTGCCAAGAGGTAAGGGGAAATAGATACTTTTTCACTTTTTAGAATATAGAAAAGTGCTTTACAAAAATGAATTTTTATCTCAGTAAGTACAAATTATTTTAAAATGTTTTCTACAAAGTATTACATAACAATGCTAATGAGTCTTAGGATTATACAAAATGTTTTCTTATGTTGTTTTACTTATTTTCTATAGGAAAAGTAGCCATCAAAAAAGAAGACTTATGTAACCACAGCGGCAAAGAAACTTGGTTTTCACTACAGCCTGTTGACTCCAATTCAGAGGTTCAGGTAAATATCAAGGCTCAAGTAATCAAGAGATTGTCATACATGGGAAAAGAGTGAAAAATGAACTAATTATACTAGTTCATGTAGATAGATCTTATTATACCTTATTTTAAAATTTGGCATCAAATATTATAGAGCTTTGGGTTATGTAGAGTTGGAAGGACATAGATTTTCTATATTATTTCAAGAATACTCATATGTATATGTTTGGGGAGGGGGTTGAGGAAATTATATTAGGGAGGACTTTGTTTCCTTGCTTTAGTTCTTCTATTTGAGTCACAGTAGCAAATTATTATATTTTTAGAGGATAAAAAGTGTTAAGGAAAAAATATATTCTCTGAGGAGAATCCCTAGAAGTCTGATTTCATCTGTTCTCATCAGGAAACTCTGTTTATTCTCTAATAAACTAGATTTGGGAAATGTTATTTATTTAAACCATGCCTGAGCCCACGGTACAGAGCCTTCACTCCCACACCCACCCTTCCTGTTGTTTAACTTTCTTTTTATTTGAAAGGATATCATCCTTACTCTTTTTAATCTCTTCTTTCTTCTTGCCAAAATAATAGGCCTTTTACAGATTCTATATATGGATAAAGATATACATATGTTTAGCCATGTAGCTGAAGTTTCTGTTTGTTTCTGGACAGTCTGAGTTTTTCTGTCTTAGAAATTGTTATTTCTATCTAAAGGGAATCTTTTTTTTGTAACCCTGTTTATTTATAAAATATGGTAAGGATTGTGAAACCATTTCCCGAGGGCATAATTGCAAGCAAGATTCTTCCTCTCTAAAAGAAGTTATAATTTGCCACTGTGACTGAAACAGAAGTTTAAGACAAGAAAAAAGTGCTATACCCACACCCACAGATAATTTGCAAATAAAGTGCCTGTGTCTCCATTTCCTCATAACCTCTCAAGCATTCTCTTTGATGAAATGATTAAATTTTCAAAAATTAAATATTTTTATGCTAAAACCCTTCTTAATTACAAAATATAACTAATACTTTCCCTGTTTTATTTACTTTATCACATTTTAATATTATTTTCTTTCCATTGGACTATAATTTTTATTCAGATCTTAATTATACAGTATTATAAATGATCCATGTGAGGAAGTGGAAAGGGTTTAAATTAGAAGTCAAAAAATTCAGGTTCTAGTTTTTTTCTTCTGTGGTTGCTTAACTGACCTTAAATTTCATTTCTATAAAATGGGAATAAAAGTTGCCATGTTTGATTCATACAGTTGTGAGAATTAAGTAAAATAACTTTAATACTTTAAAAGTCACTAATTGCTATACAAATGTAAAATATTGTCTGTTTACCACCAATCTGGTGGTCCCTAAAGTGCCTTTATTAAAAGGAAGATATGAAAGTTTTAGATTAAAGTACTAATTTTTCTTTTTAATAGGTTTAACAAAAAGCACGATAGGAAAAGGCTTTGAAAATTTTGGTTTAAAATAAAATTTGAGGATTATTTAAAGATTCACTTTATTAAGTGCATTATTCTTATGACCAGTATAAATAGAAATTTATATAGAATACTCTTTAGAAATCTATATAGAATACTCTTTATATAATTCTTGAAGATGATATTAAAGATTCATAGGGGGACACAAGCTTTTTTTTAACGGTGTTTATATACATAAAACTTATTTCTGATACATGAAAATTCTGGAAGCAGCATTTACCTATTAGCTATAATGGTGGCATTTTAAAATTTGCTACAAGTTATTTTCACGAGCAGGAGTTACTAACCTTTACAGCTCTTTTGTCTTAAATGATACTTAATTAGTAAGATTTACTCACTATTTAATATAGATTTTAGAAGGAAGAGTACTTTAGGGGGTGGAAGGAATACATAACACTTTCAGGTTAATTGCTGGTTAATGTCGGGTTAATGGTACCATTGGAAATATTGTTGTCTGGCCCCCAAACTGATCTGAGAATACTAAATTAACTTTGGGAGTCTAAAAAGACAAAACAGCAGCCCATGGTTCATACAGCTCCTACTTTGTTAATAAATTTATTCACTTCCATAAATTTTATAAAATTTTACAAAAATATCATAGAAGAGCAATTGATGAGAGCAATAGGAGAAAACTATGTGACAGGTTGAGTTTAGCATGAACTCAATCTAATACTATCAGTAATTATAAGAGTACATACCAAGCACAGTCCTACGTACTTAATGTACATTGTATCATTTAATCTTTAAAATAGCATTATGAGGTGTAGGTAGTTATTACCTGCATTTTACCAATAAAGCAAATGTGATTCACAGAGATTAAATGACTTCTCCAAAGTCACAGAACTACTAAGAGGTAGAGCCATTAATCCAAAAGGGATCTGTCTGAATCTAAAACTCCTAACTACAGTGCTTTACTACCTTTCACTATTCTGTACTATTAGTTATAAAAAGGCTTCAACAGGTTAGGAGGATCACTTCAGTAACATCTAAGTATAAGGAACAGAAGCCTACACAAATTAGCACAAAGAAAAAGGGAGAGTATATTGGTAAGTTTCTAAGGAGCTTCGAATGTAATTCCAGGAACTTCATTTACTATGGCCACTATGAGCTAGAAAGTTGTCAGGCATTTGCAGAGGAGCTGCCTTTTTTTTTTTTTTTTTTTTTGAGACAGAGTCTCGCTTTGTTGCCCAGGCTAGAGTGAGTGCCGTGGCGTCAGCCTAGCTCACAGCAACCTCAGACTCCTGGGCTCAAGTAATCCTACTGCCTCAGTCTCCCAAGTAGCTGGGACTACAGGCATTCGCCACCATGCCCGGCTAATTTTTTGTATATATTAGTTAGCCAATTAATTTCTTTCTATTTATAGTAGAGACAGGGTCTCGCTCTTGCTCAGGCTGGTTTTGAACTCCTGACCTCGAGCAATCCGCCCGCCTCGGCCTCCCAAGAGCTAGGATTACAGGCGTGAGCCACCGCGCCCGGCCAGGAGCTGCCTTTTAAGTGGAGGTTAGGTTTTTATAACAACAGGTGTTAAAATTCATTTTAAAAGTAAAAATTATTTTTGAAAAGACTAATTTTTCATAAATTACACTGAAGTATTGGGTGGTTGGTTTCAGTTGATTGCCACATAAAATGGTTGGTTTGCATTTGAGGCCATGGTGAATGAAAAATAATATACTGTATCTTTAAATTGTAGATCTGCACTCAGTGTAACAATAGGCACTGCAAGAGGCACTGAGACCCACTCATTCATTTCTTTTTACTCATGCTCACTGTGCTTAGTGAGTATAAATGCTCACTGTTTAAATAGTGTTTTTTTTCTTTCCCTTTCATTTTGCAAAGTGAATAGTTAATGTTTTCTCTCTATCTTTCCCTCTCATTTTAATAACTATTCGCTTTGCAAAATGAAAAGGAAAGAAACACCATTTAATGATTATTTGTATGTCTGATGAAACTACATGTCTCTTCATCTGCTTCTATCTGTAAATATACCCCAGTTTCTTGTTGACAGCTAAAAATATCACACCAGTCTTTCAGTCTCTGCGACCATACAGCCTTCTTATTCTCTAAGATCTGACTCAGTTTTTTACCACAATTTAGAAAATTTGGCTAAGCTTGGGTCAGATGTCCACTGCAGTCTAATTTGATATGGTTGGAGGAAAAATCACTGTAGGGGAGTTCATTTGGGTTCTTTGAGTAGTCGTGTTCCCCAAGGAAGGGGTTGAGGTGGAGGAAATGATTGGCATCTCTTCCTCAGAGGGGGAGATGTTTGATTTCGTAGCTCTACCAGTAATTGGCATTTGTACCCAAAATAGTTGCTAACCTATTGTTACCTGAAGATCTTCATCTGTGAAATGATAACTTCAGTGTAACAGGTCCCCTTTGGTTGTGAAGTTCTAGGGAAGTAACATGCAGAAATGTAATTTGGCCCTCAAAAGAAAAGATCCTAATAATATTCATGAGATGGGTTTTATATGAAAACAGGTGAAATATTTTCAAGAACTATAACCTTTTACCTTGAACTGTCTCCAGAGACAGCTCTTTATTGTTGCTGTCAGTGCTTTATTCTTGCTGTCAATAATGATAATTATTTTCAGTTTTATTTCTAACAGTGTAAAATGTTACTAGTAATATTTCAGAGTGCATTTTTCTACCATTTTAAACTTATTTTTATTTTTTGTCTTGATTCTACCTTTTGCTGTTGTGCAGTTTTCTTTTCTAAGTTGAACCATTCTCTTCTCAACTTACTTTAATCTGTTTTCAGACTCTATGGTGGGTCAGAAGAAGAACACAAATGGCTCGTTACCAATGACATTGTGTCATTAAGTCTAGTGGACATTTTTCAGGCCTCTTTATACTTGACCTTTTAGCAGCTTTTGATACTGGTGACCACTCCTTCCATTTTGAAGCATTCTCTTGTTTAGTTTCTGGTCTAGTATGGTCCTAGTTATCATTCTGCTTTATTTGATATTCTTTCTCCATATTCTTTGCCACATAGGTAAAGTTAATGTGGATTGTGCTAGTGCTTTCTATAAATCCTCTTTTGGCTTCACTGATCTGCAGACATGCTGCTAGTAATTAGGTCCTGAAACTGACAAGAAACTAAGTATTTTTCCCTTTCTTATTTTCTTAGGCACTAGGATAAAGAAAGCATGTTTTACATAAGACTGATTAAAACCAAATCTCCCATATGGAGAAGTTGCTGCTCTCATTAATTAAGGGTGTTTGTCTCACACAACTTGTCCAAGCAGTAAATCCAGATGTACTGTCAATCATGGCCTATTTGACGCAATTAGTTAGTTAATAAGTCTTTACCAACAAGCTTATCTTGAATTTCTGGATCATGCCATAAGTTATTGATTGTTTTAGAGGTTTTTTTAAAAAAGTATATCCTCTGCCTTACCTGTTTGAACAGTCATTTTAACAAAAATTCAACAATTATAGCTAATAATACATATACCAGGTTTTTTTTAAAGCATGTCTAATTAAGACATAATGAATGCAAAAGCATAATTCATTGTTACAAGTTGATTTTTAAAAACTC